TAGAGCTATCAACAAATGGATCTCGACTACACATAATTGAGTATGTCCCAGGCTACTTTTTCCATGTTTTATAAAGATTTAGCTGCATGATCTAATCCCCTAAAAAAAACAAATCTTTGTTCACTCACTTCTCCCTGCCTCGTAGCTTTGATGTCGATCCTCTCAGGCGGCACACTTTTTGGACCATCTCAGTGGGGGGAACTTTTACGTGGCTCGGGATCTATGGAGTTAATCAGTCAACCATCCAGCGATGCATTTCTTGCAAAACAGAGAAGCATGCCAAGCTGTAAGTTATGAATAAAGAAACATCTCTATGTTTTCTCTGCTCTTATTGGGTACTCATCATATGCTTCCTAATGTTATGTGTGTAGAAAAGAGACAGAGAAACAGAAAGATTCGTTTAATTCTTCCAACAATATTTTGAAGCATGCATTACTATTCCCATCTCAGCAAGGAAGTGGTAGAGCTGGGGTTTGACCTTAATAGTCTGTCTGCCATGGCTCTCCATCATTTCCTGCCTCCATTTATTGAGAAGTAACTAGGTTAAATTAGGTGTGGGTAGTGAGTGATGCAGAGGTAAGCAGCACGTATTTCTTACAGTTTCAAGTTGACCTTTATCACTGATTTGGTTCAGCATGGATATACCTTTAAAATGTCCAAGGGGAGATTGAAAAAGAAGACAACCCAAGGTAATGAGGCAGGTCAGAATGGGGCTCTCGGTGCTCCAAGTCCTGCCAGGATATCCTTGCCAGGCCTGCTCACTCCAAAGGACTCCAGCAGACACACGGCTTGTCAAGCCTTTTCCAGGCCCTGTCAGCCAGCCCACGCTCTCCAGTGGGGACCACAGGAAGGTACACACTCTTTTGCAAAACTGATAGAAACAAACTAGCATAGCTTATATCCCCATTGCTGCTGTCCAAGGTTCCTGACTTGTCAGGATGTCCTCAACTTTTCTTAGAGTGAGAATCAGTCGCTATGAACACTTGGGTTGCGGGAAACGAGTTAAGTCGGCTCGCGTGAATTGCGCGTACTCCGCGGGAGCCGTCTTAAACTCGGTTCATATAGATTTGCGGTGGAGTGCGGGAAACGTGTAAACTCGGGCCGATTGTAACTGCGTATTACCAAATATTTCATTTCAATCGAACCCATACTTCAAAAGATATAGGCATTTTAACGCGCCATCTTATATTTTGGCGGGAAATTCACCCGACACCGAAGTGTGAATATTCCTGCAACTGATTTTAAAGTACTTTCAATGCACAGTGTCTTATGTAGACTGAAAAAAAAGATAAAATTGCCTGGGCATGGTTTACCATGTTGTAACTTGCATTCTAAAAGGGAATATATCACTTTACATGTTTCACACATTCTCAGAAGTGAAAGTATTATCTAGTGTTTCAGCAATTCACTAGTAAGATACTTATATCCTATGATAATAAATAGTATTAACAAATCCTCTACACACACAATCATCACTTTATCAAATAGCCGAATTTCTGAAAATGTATTTAAGATCAAATGTGTCTTTGATCTTGGTATTCATCTAAAATTAACAGTCGTTTAAAATTCTGCTTTAAATTGAACTAGAATTGAAGGTATCGTTTATCTGTTAGCACTGCTGGCAGGAAGTGGTGCTCTGAGGGTAGGGGGAGTTGATGTAGGTTATAAGACCCTTCTCAATGCCATCCCATCTCCCAGCTCAGACCAGCACATCCAAGCACAGTCACTTATTTTCCATTCCCATTGCCTTTGTTTACTTTCTTTATATTTCTTATTTATATTTATTTATTTATTTATTTATTTATTTATTTATTTATTTATTTTTGGTGCTCGTGACCGGAATCAAACCTTGGACCCTTGAGTCTACAGGCCAATGCTCTATCCACTGAGCCAAACCAGTCAGGGCTATATTTCTTATCACATCAAAGATAATCTTATTTATTTAATTGATGTCAGCAGTTATTACGTGCCTCCAGTCCCAGAATATCCAGCTCCATGAGGGTGGCTTCTGTGTGCTCACTGCTATATCCCATGTACTTAGAAGAAGCTAGTACACAGAGTTGCCTGGATGGAGGAATAGTGAGAGTGCAACCGATGCCATTCATAAGTATGGGTCACCTTATGTATCAATGGTATTTCCAAAAGGCTATCTCTAATTCAAGCCCCTACCAATAAAAACAAACAAATAAAACTCAAAGGTAAACATGGTTAGACTACTCCCAAGGAAGCAACTTTTGAGATAAGACTCTTTGCTAATGTAAATCATGTAAAATAAAAACTTTTCAATGGGATAATTATTTAACTTATTTGCTTAATAAATAAATACTTTGATTGAAGGGTTTTGTGAAAGTTAGGTATAGCTGTACAGCACAGGTCTTGGGGGCCTTTGAAATGAATGTGTGTCCTTACAGTTGAATGTGGATGTATTTAATTCCCTTCACACAATGAGTGGATCCAAGAAAATGCTCAGTGTTGCTCTCCTGGTCCCTGCAACTAGAGACAGATTGAGATTTATTCTCTCAGACGAATGTAAGGTTAGCCTACTTTCAAGTCTCCTCTGAGATTAAGAAAATGAGTAATTGACTTTCAAAGGTCAGTCATAAATGCAAAATAACCACAGAATGCTGCAAAATTATATGCATAATTATCATTAAACATATCTGTGTATCACAGAATAAAACAAATTGCTCCAAAAAAAGATAGGTAAAATGACCTTGGGCTTTTCATACTTTCTATTGTCTCTTTAAAAAACACTTCAACTTTCATCTGAATGAATCTCCAAAGTGTGTATTTCCAAAACTTGTCTATGCCTACATTTATCTTCTTATCCCTCTGGAAGGAAATATGTTAAAATGTAAGTTGGCTTTTTGACAGTTTTGTTAATTGAGTGGGAGGAACATCACTTGAAGCTATATGTGAGTGATTGTTATGTGAAATTTCATCTGAGAAAATAGATCTCACACCACACATTGAGGTTTTGCAGAAAAACTCCCAATTTCAAAAAGAAAATCCATCAACAATCTATTTCATTGAACTTTTGTAATCAGTCTAAAAAATGTAATGTTGTCAAACACACAGAAAAGCAAAAATATAAGATGTAATAATTCTTGAAGACTGTAGACTGTAGAATTTTATTTTTAAGCAAAAAGGTGCCCTAAAGTTTTACTGTGAGTGTTTGGTTGTGACCTTCCCAATAATGTGGCATAGAGCAGTGGCCGGCAAACTCGTTAGTCAATAGAGCCAAATATCAACAGTACAACGATTGAAATTTCTTTTGAGAGCCAAATATTTTAAACTTAAACTATATAGATAAGTACATTGTTATTAACTTAATTAGGGTACTCCTAAGGCTTAGGAAGAGCCACACTCAAGGGGTCAAAGAGCCGCATGTGGCTCACGAGCCGCAGTTTGCTGACCACGGGCATAGAGGCTACCAATAGACCCATGTGTTCTTCTCTAGAGCCTTGTACTTCAACCTGGTGGGTCTCTGGATTATTCTGGTGTGTGCTGTCTTCTCTGGCTTGATCATGTACTCCTACTTCAAAGACTGCGACCCTTGGACTTCTGGCATTATCTCAGCGCCAGACCAGGTATATGTTCCCTTGGGCAATGGCTGAAACGAGCATGTTTTTAGCCATTGATGGGTAATGTGGGGTCTTTCTCTTTTTCACCTGGATCTATAACCACTTTCCACACCCCAAAGACTAGATGGCTTTCCTCTCCTCTTGGGTACATTACCACATATGAGGGTCTAATATAAGGGAATAAACATGTAAAAAGAAGGTACCTCACCTTTTCCTTGAAGACAAGGCCAGGAACTAGGACAAGGCTGAGGAGAGAGGAAGGTGTGACTAACAAATGGGTTTGGTTGTCAATGCTACCAATAGGTTGTGGGTTCAATTCCTAGTCAGGGAACATGTTTAGGTTGCAGGTTTGGTTCTGGCTAGGGCATGTGTGGGAAGCAACAGATTGATGTTTCTCTCTCGCTCTCTTTTTCTTTCTCTTTCTCTCCCCATACCTCTCCCTGAAATGAATAAACAGATCCTCAAGTGAGGATTAAAAAAATTATTTAAAATATTTTTAAAAACCTCCCTTTGTGGGCAATATGATCCCCTATATATTCAACTGTCTTACTGTATCCTATGGGGACTTCTCTCTCACAAATCTGACTACAGAGTAGAACTGTAACACCTAGATTCTCTGAAGACCTGTTTTTTGTTTGTTTGTTTTTTTGTTTAAAAACATATTTTTAGTAATTTCAGAGAGGAAGGAAGAGGGAGACAGAGATAGAAACATCAGTGATAAGAGAGAATCATTGATCAGCTGCCTCCTGCACGTCCCTCACTGGGGATAGAGCCCACAACTGAAGAATGTGCCCTGACCAGGAACGGAACTGTGATCACCTAGTTCATAGGTCATCCCTCAACCACTGAGTCATGCCAGCTGGGCTAAAGACCTGTTTTAAGCATTTGTTTCTAGGGTTTAATTGCTAACTTTAACAGTAAACAAAAAATATCATACTTTACAAAAAAAGAGAAAAATTTTAAATTTTGAACCTTCTAAATTTTGTCCAGCCCTTTTTCCTAATACTGTCTCTTTTCTACCCCTTCCATGCCCCTACAGCTGGACCTCAGGTCCATGGAATTGGATTGATCATAACATCATTTGCTAGTATGCATCTACCTTAGTCCAGGCACACTCCTCTATTATTATTACATTTGTATTTTTTTTCACCTTCTTTTGCTAAAAAGCTACATTCTCACATTTCAGACACAGCTGATGAGACCACTAATCCTACCTTGTTTGCCTCCTCTTCAGCTGATGCCGTACTTTGTCATGGAGATATTTGCCACGATGCCTGGGCTACCAGGACTTTTTGTGGCTTGTGCCTTCAGTGGAACTCTGAGGTTAGTGCTGTGATGATAATGATGGTGACTGTGAGGATGATGGTAGCAATCACTAGTATTTACTGAGTACAGTGGGGCCTTGACTTACGAGTTTAATTCGTTCCGTGACGGAGCTCGTAACTCAAATTACTCGTATGTCAAATCAAAAAGTGAACGAGTGAGACACGTGATGCTGGGCTGATGTTGTGGCATTCACTGTGACGTTCGCTGCGCCAACTAGCAGTGGGGTATCTGAAGCTGGCTCGTGACCCGAATTTTAGCTCGCAACTCAAAGCAAAAAATCAGCCGAGAGACGGCTCATATCTCAAAAAACTCATTAGTCGGGACACTCGTAAGTCAAGGCCCCACTGTATTTACTGTGTGCCAACTGCCCTGCTAAATGCTTTATTTGTATTTGCTCATTAGTTGCCACACTTTACATGCAACTGAAACTTTACTCATATTATCATCAGTTTATAGATAAGAAATGGAAATTTAGCAAGGTAGCTAAAACTTACCCAAGGGGTCATAGTAAACTGCAGGGGCAGGATGTAAGCCTAGGTCTGAGCCTACAGTAGACCTCTCTGGTTATTTTCTCAATCTTGTCTGATGCCCGCTCCCCCACAATTTCACATCACCCTATCACAAGGCAGCTCGCTTGGTGGCATTTATCATTCAGCAGATCTATCCTTTGCAATCCATTCTCCCCATTTTCAATAGCACACTCAGGCAGCTAATAACACCCATCCTCCACATGTAGACATTGTTCTAAATACAAAATTATTCATACATTTATTCAGACACATATTTAGAAGGTTTATATTGTGCTAAACACAGTTGAAGACTGTGGGGAGGCAGGGATACTGCGCAGAAACAGGACTGACATCGCCCTCATATGGAGTTTGCATTCTAATTGACGTGGAAGATAAACAATATATAAGTGAACAAAATAAACTAGATATAGTTTGATAATGACAAATAATTTAAAGGAAATAACAGAGTGATATCTGAGAGAGAGGTGAGGCCTGGGGGTTATATTTTTAATAGGGTCTTTAGGGATCTCCCCTTTGAGTCGGTGACTTTTGTGTTGAGAGATAAAGCATGTGAAAAAGCCAGGTATTGAAGAGCATGGGCAGGAACCTGTACAGGCAGGTAGAAGAGCAAATTCCAAAGTCCCTCCCCAACCCCCGAAGAGAAACTGCATAGAATATTTTAGGAATGAAGAGAAGAGTTAAAGCATGAGAAACTGGGAGGAGAGGAGAGCAGATGAGGATGAGTTTGAATTGGTGAGCAGGCATCAGATCATGGAGACCTTCATGAAATGGTAGAGTTGGCATTTCAAATGAAATGGGAAGGCATTAGAAGGTTTGAAGCAAGGGAATGAGTGATGTCATACAGTTAAGACTCAGTTTTCCATGTGGGGAAGGGACTATAATAAAAGCATGAGTGGTGCAAGTGAGTGACCTGTTAGGAGGCATTTGTCTTAATTCAGGTGAGAGATGATAATGATTTGGAGGGGCAACCGTGTTAGGAGCAATGCTCTAAAACAGTAAGATAGTATCATTCTTTTCCTTTAAGCCGGACCCACTGCCTTCCTCCACATGTAGACATTATTCTAAATTCAAAATTATTCAGAGAAATATTTTAGAAGGTTTATATTATGTCCCTTTATGAATCAGAGACTCAGCTGGTGGGAAAATCTTGTTTCCTTTCTTGGAGCTCAATTGCAAAGAATCAATTACAGAATTGTTCAAGGCCGATTTTAACATAGTTACTTTATCGGGGTCAAAATTCTAGCAGTTTCAGATCATAAAAGTAAAAATTTTATATCTTATACTTAAAACCCCTTGTCACAACCCACTATATTAATCAGTGTTAATGATTTCTTATTAACAAATCAGAACATTTTTTACTTATGTGAACATATATACCTTTTAGTGTACAAAAAAAGATATATTGTATACACTGTTTCTTTTTTCAGAACATTTAAAAATATTTATTGAATTTATTGGGGTGACAATGGTTAATACAATTATATAAGTTCAAGTGTACTATTTTTTTTCGAATTGTTATTTTTTTTCATTTATTTTTTAAATTAAAAAATAAATTATTCACCACCACTGGGGCTCCAGGGAAGCTGTTAGGCCTGCACCACACTCACTAGGCACCTGCAAGGACCCACGGTCAGTGGCAAACTGTCTTTTATTAATTAAAAAATTTTAATGTTGACATTATTTTAGGTGATACCCTTTCCCCTGCCCCCTTTTCCTACCTCCATCCACCCCTCCTCTCCCTCTCTAGGCCCTCACCAAACTATTGTCCTTCCTTTTTTACAACCAAGTAGTATTCCATGGTGTAAATGTACCACAGCTCTTAAAAAATGTTTTTATTAATTTTAGAGAGGAAGAGAAAGATAGAAACATCAATAATGAGAGAGAATCATTGATTAACTGCCTCTTGCATGCCACCCACTGGGGATAGAGCCCGCAACCCAGGCATGTGCCCTGATCAGAAGTGAACCGTGACCTCTTGGTTCATGGGTCAACACTCAACCATTGAGCCACAGCAGCCGGGCTACCACACCACAGCTTTTTTATCCACTCATCTACTAATGGGCACTTGGACTGCCTCCAGATCTTGGCTATTGTAAATCACACTGCATGAACATAGGGGTGCATATGTTCTTTCTGATTGGTGTTTTGAGATTCTTTGGATATATTCCTAGCAGTGGTATCCCTGGGTCCAAAGGAAGTAACATTTTTAATTTTTTGAGGATCTAGAACCATTCAAACTAAAATGAATGGCTCTATTATTCTGCATTATCAAAGAAGAAAAAGTTTGAATTTTCTTTCATACCTTTGGTGCAGCTATAGCAAGTCTTCAAATGTGCAATGGAGGATAACAAAATAACTACTCATGAATGTCCATGGAAAACTGAAAATAGCTAGCCAGGCTTCATTCATCAGCTTGTTTCTGTTCCAGAACTTTGGTTTGTGGTTGTGATTTTGCACCATGTGAATTTAATATGGTTATCTATTCTCTGGCTGAGATATTCCTGGTCTCTATAAGGAATTCAATAAGATTCCATGTCATTCCACAAAGAAAACCACAACTTTCAGGTCCTCTGTCACCTAAGTGAGTTTTAAGGCCATACAACTGAATTCTGATTGGAAAGTCAGAGCTTTCATGAGTTTAGGTCTTTGGCTCCACCCCAGTCTTACCCTTTGTCTTTTACTCCCTTACTAATTACACACGAGCCACTCTCATGGCTCCAGGTTATTGAATGCAAGGAGCTTTCAGGAATTTAAATGTAATTTTTCTTTTGTTCTAGAACATCATTTCCCCAATATGCATGGGTGTCTTCAGTGCTTACTGTAACTATCAATTCCTAAGGGGAGAATTTTTTAATTTCATATTGGTTTAGGTCTCTGAGAGACATGTTGTCATAGCACTTTGTTATTTTCCTTTGTCACAGTTTTTACAATTGTTATCAATTACTTAATTGGTTGTTAAATTTCCCTGTGGCCAAATGAAGTGGGAGATCTTTGTCTTTCTTGTTCACTATTGTATGCCTAGTGCCCAGCATGAATAAACAGATGCATGAACGGTATTGATGAATGAATGAATCATTACTGAATGGCAAAGTGAACTGACACCTGGGTTAGGGCAGTCACCACTTCTTGCTTTAAATCCAATCTAAGCTGTCCCCACCTTGCCACACCCAAGCAAACACCCACATACACAATCTCTGTTACTCTCTGCTAACTCATTTGATATCTTATTAAAAGAAATTAGTTGGAGTTAAAACATGAAAAGCTAGCTTTTTCAGTGGACTTTGTGGAAGAATTAAAAGAGCATTAAGCACAGAAGCAGTGTGGAAGAGTGAGTAGATAGGCCATGTGGTTCCCCTGGAGTTCTGTTTTCTTAGAGCCCTTGTCTATTTGCCCTGGAAAACAGTGCAAGCTGGTGGCTTAGCTTTATTTACTTGGACTATGTTCTTGCTTTTCTCTCCCTGTAGCACCGTGGCTGCCAGCATCAATGCCTTAGCAACAGTGACCTTTGAGGATTTTGTCAAGAGCTGTTTTCCCCATCTCTCCGACAAGCTGAGCACCTGGATCAGTAAAGGCTTATGTAGGTATAGCCAGGGGATCTTCATTCCATGTCACGATATGTACATGTGGTACATGTCAAAATCCTGCACATGCCATTCAGGACACATGAGGAATCTCACATGTAGATTCTTATACTTGCAAAGATACCAGGAGGGTACCAGCTAGCTTTACCTTTCACCATTCTTATTTTTTACCTCCTTTTGTGTATATTTCAGATTCATCACATCAGCATCTTTTGATTATGCTATGCATTGATCATATTAGTTCCTCTACATGGGAAGATATTCTGCTCACTGTGGCCAGTCCCTTTCTAAAATCAAATTCTTTTCTAAAGAATCCTGTATTACCCAACTCCCAGTAACCTCACCTCAAATAAGAATTTCTCTTTGTTTAGTCATAAAATTGCATATTACATTTTTAATCACAATAACACTTATTATCTTGAATTATAGTTTTATACATTTTACTTCTAAGTATGAACAAACTATATGCTTATTTACATATTATAAAAATTTAGGTATTTTGGAAGACATATGAACTTGAAAAATTATAGCTACCTAATGATGTCACCTTTTTTTAGCTTAAAATTTAAAAATGTTTCTATTATTATCTCTTTTTTAAACAAAAAACATTGCCTATTCATGTGTAGTTTTTCTTTCAGATTAACTTTAAAATAATATATTGCATGTTACTTAACTGCACTCTCCCCCATGGCATTGCATTAAACCTGAAAATGTATTTGGGAAGAATTGACATTTTTGTAAGTTTTACACCTAAATAATAATTTATTTTTTCCATTTTATAATATAACAACTTTGATTCCAGATATTAATTATACCCATGTCTTTTTTCCCCTCCTGCTTGACCCCCTCTCCTCCTCCTCTTCTTCTTCCTCCACCTCCTTTTTTCTTCTTCCTTCTTTTTTCTTCTTTCATTGATGTTATCAATGAGATGCTTTCCCATATTTCCTAAACTGTTTATGATCAATGTGGAAAACCTATATCTTTTTGTTTTTATTTTATAAAGCATATATATTGCCATTTCCACAACTATTATTGATTTTCAAAATTTCAATTGTTTTTTTTCTAGTAAGTATGGTAATTGCCTGCTAATATTGGTAGTTTAATCATCTTCTTCTCAAATGTTCTTCTCATTTGGGTTGTTTGTTCTCCATTTCCTTCAGTGTTTCTCCTATTTCCAAAACTTGGCTCTTTTCCTCTAAAAACATTTAAAGAAATCAAGTTTTTTTTCCTGCCAATTTTTAGTTCTCCACAAAATAAAGTTTAACAATAATAATTTTAATTGCGCTATTTGTGTTTGTTCCTTACGTTTTACTATAAAAATTAAGTCATGCAGCAAGGTTTGGATACTTTTGCCATGAATGCCCAATATATATGCCACCTGAATTCTCCATTAATATGTTTCCAAACTTACTTTTTCACATATCCATCCAGATCTCTAACCATTCATTAATCAGCATGTTAAAATACATTTCCCCTAATTTTTTTCATTCATATTATTAACTAGGATTCAATAACTGCTTAAATTTGTCTTTAATGCAAAATCTATCTTTCATTCTACAATGAAATGGACACATGTTAAGTTTATGTTTGCTAAGTTTTGACATATTCATACACCTGTGTGATCCAGCCATTGAAGATGTAAAGCATTAGCATAACCCTGGAAAGCCCTCTTTTGCTCATTCCAGTCATCCCTGCTCCCACTCCCCTCCCTTAGAGGCAGCCATTATTCTGATACTTTCCTCTTTTAGAATTTCACATAAATGGAATCACACACTTTTTGTAGGACTCCTTTCACTCAACATAATATTTCTGAGTTTAATCCATACTTTGTATGTGTACCCATGGTCCATCCCTTTCCATTGCTGAGTAGTTTGAAATTGTATGGATGTACCACAGGTTTTTTAAACTTCTACTTCTATTGGTAGACCTGGGCTATTTTAGTTTGAGGTTATAATAAATAAAGCTGCTATGAATACTTTGGTACAATCTTTTTTTTTTTGTAAATACATAAGAGTGGAAGTGCTTGGTCAACTATCATGGTTTTTATTTTCTTGTGTTCACTCCTGAATCCATCTTCACCTATATATATTGATGTTGCATCCTGTCTTTTTTTTTTTTCATCTCATTTGTTTCTTTTTGCCCTTTTCTTATTTGCTTCATTGAGTTTACATATTGTTGCATCATATTGAGATTGCCAAACAGTTTCTAAATACTTTTCTTTTCTGGTTCTTAAGGTAAATTACTTCCAGAAAGCATAGTCTTTACTTGAGCATTTAGATGAATATATTTATTCCCTTGTTTGACAATATTTGCCATGAATCGCATGTATTCTGTTTCTTTTTACTTATGCTTAAACAAGGAGAGATCAACACTGACAAGATGCTTGTTATCTGGTTAGTTGAATCGCCTGGACCTATTTACTATCTTGAATAATGAATTAGAGCTAATAACAGGTGGATGGGCATTGCTCCCAGTATGATCCCAATTTCTAGCAGACATTTATGAGTATGCTGGGTTGAGGTACAAGTTTCTTTATGCCCATGGTTTATTGTCTGATCCTCTGGGCTGATGCAGCGCTGGGAAAACCCACAGCATCTGCTGCAACTGTGGAGTTTCCTTTCCCTCTCACATTTGCTGCTTTGTCTGTGGGTCCATGTACTCCGGGTCTCTACAGAACCCCCACCAATTTCCCTAAACTCCCTGACTTGCAGGTTGCTATTGATTGCAATCTGGTGGAAGTATAAAGATTTTTGGGAGAGGAGGCTGGATCAATTCTCTAGTCAGCACAAAAGCAGAATTCTTGGGTTGAGGGGTGGTTGCCTAGATTCTCACCTGAACACGTAACTGTTGGTCTAGCAAAAGGGTAATCAATAGTCGAGAGGAAACATATCTTTTGTGACTTTCCTCAGGAAGGTAATGTTGTCCTCATTTATAAAGCAACACAGAATCAGGGCAAACATTGTTTTCTGCAATCTAATCTATCATCTTTAAAGATAACAGGAACAATTTTAGAATTCTGAAATGTGTTTATTGATCAAACTTGGTTTTAGTGTTTTGTGAGTTTCCTTATTTTTCTGTGTCAGATTGAGAAGTTGGGGAATACAGCATAAAAGTTGCCAACCTGATTTAATTTTGAATGAGTTCCTGATCATAGCAATCATTTACTAAACCTGAATATAATAATAATAAGTAATAATATTGGCAAAACATAGTACTTGCCTATGTATCAGACACTGTTAGATATATATTAATGTATTTACATGTAGTCCCTTTTTAGAATGAGAGATCCTTAGGGCAGGTGTCAAGTTCTAACTGTATAGCACTGGCATCTAGTAAAGTGTCTGACAAAATGGAATTAATAGTCCCATTGGAAACTGAGCTAGATATTTAGCTGAGAGAGAATTTCAAACAGAATGAGCAAAATCATTTTCTCTCTGTTTCTGTCATTGTGTTTCCCTCTAGGTCGATCTCCAACTCTGTGTCTCTTTCCTCTTTTTTAGTTTATGGGCATCAAATGTACTCTTAAGGTGATTTTTAAACAAAAATACACTAAAAATCTATTTTTAAAAGACGATTTAAAAGAATACATGTTCTTTAAAAGATGACTAAGACGTATATGCTGATTCACTCAGCAAGACCCTATGATGCTGGAGGCACCATTCAAGGTCCTCCAGAGTATGGTATCCGATGGCCTTTATGGTCCTCCAACATAGATATGCAAAACAAATAATTCATTACACAATATACCATAAGGATAGTATGCATAAATACAACTGGGAAATAGAGCAGGAAAATTTCCAGATTTGCAAAACCTCTGAGGTAAAATATATAGCTGTTTAGTGATTTCCAAGTTGAAAAACTATCAGAATCCCAGAGAGTTTAGTATCTTCTTCAGGTGATTGTTGGTTAGTCGAACTGAAATTAGTTCCCACGAATTTAGTCTGGATTAGCCTCTGTGAGCGCCCTTTCTGTAGTTTCATGTTGCTTTCACATGACAGTTTTCTTCTTGAGTCCTGGATAGAAAAGTATGTGACACTAGCTAGGTTCTAGCTCTTTCTGCCTGACCTAGGAGAGCTAGTTCTGGGGAGAAAATATCCTAAATGCCCCTCGTGGGGCTTGTGAGGACTGAGAAGGGAGGATGGTTCTCACTGACATCCCTTCCGATAGGGCCTGGTCAGAGGGAGTCCTGGGCAGAAGCTAAAGGAACCCCTCAAAGCCAGTTTGGATAATGGTAACGAGGTTTTTTTTTCCTTTCAGGTATCTTATTTGGTGTGATGTGTACCTCCATGGCTGTGGCTGCGTCCTTCATGGGTAGCGTTGTGCAGGTAATAAAAGAAGGAAAAGACACATTTATTTCATAGCAATGTTTTACCCATGTCTTTGCTAATGTTTTGCCTATTCCTCCAAGCCACTCTCTGAGGCCAGGTCCAAATTAGACATGCATGTAAAAGTTCAACCAAAATTACCTGCAGAAGAGGAAACTATTAAAAACTAATAATGGACTCAGGTACACAGCTGTGTGTGTGTGCACATGCTCACTGCCTGCATGATAGTGCCTGTGTATGTTCAACAAAGCCAGGGAACAAGGCTGTAGGTTGACAGCAAATTGGTTTAATGAAAATCTTTTGCCAGTTCTCTGGGTTCAATACCTTAGAGACTAAGAGACGTGGAAATGCATTTGTCAAATTCCCTTAGTTCGCAAAAGGGAGCCATAAAAGTGGGATATGGGATATGCGTGCCCAATGGCTTCCCCACCATACCTCAACTTAGTGCTTTAACATTCTTGAGGTGTTCTGAATGAGATGTCAGAGGCGGGGAACAGACAATCATTATCAAAATACAATTGTGCCAGGCCACTGTGGTTCGGTGGTTGAGCATCAACCCATGCATGGTTCCATTCTGGTCAGTGCACATGAACAGTTGATCAATGATTCTCTCTCATTGTTGATGTTTCTATCTCTCTTTCCCTCTCCCTTCCTTTGTCTGAAATAAAGAAAAACATGTTTTTAAAAAATTTAATACAATTGCTCAAATAGCTGATCAACTATGTAAGATGTGAAATATGTTATAGGTATATTTATTTGGTACATTATATAAAAACTTTTTGACAAAATAGAAAATACAAACAAACCAATGAGTTTTAGCTTGAGAAAACCTATTTCTAAAAATCATAGTTACCTGTGCATACACACACACACACACACACACACACACACACACAGGTTTGTTTGTATGTATTTTTATTTTATTTTATTTTTAACAAAATACAATAACTTTTATTGTTTATAGTATTACATGTCTCCTTTTTTCCCAATTAACCCCTGCCACTCCCACCCCCGAGTGCAAGTCCCCACTGGCCCAGTGTCTGTGTCCATTGGTCATGCTAATATTTATGCATACAAGTCATTTGGTTGATCTTGAAATGCCCCTCCCCCCGCCGCCTTCTCTCTGAGGTTGGATAGTCTTCTCAGTGCCACCTTGCCTCTGGATCCAGTTTTGTTCATCAGTTTATATTAATCATTATATTCCACATATGAGTGAGATTATGTGATATTTATCTTTCTCTGACTGGCTTATTTCACTCAGCATAATGCTCTCCAGTTCCAACCATGCTGTTGCAAATGGTAAAGTTCCTTCTTTTTTACAGCAGCATAGTATTCCATTATGTAGATGTACCACAGTTTTCTAATCCACTCTTCTGCTGATGGGCACTTAGGCTATTTGCAAATCTTAGCTATTGTAAATGTGCTGCTATGAACATAGGGGTGCATATATCCTTACTGATTGGTGTTTCTGATTTCTTGGGATATATTCCTAGAAGTGGGATCACTAGGTCAAATGGGAGTTCCATTTTTAACTTTTTGAGGAAACCCCATACTGTTTTCCACAGTGCCTGCACCAGTCTGCATTCCCACCAGCAGTGCACGAGGGGGTTCATTTTTCTCCACATCCTCTCCAGCACTTGTCGTTTGTTGATTTGTTGATGATAGCCATTCTGACAGTGTGAGATGCTACCTCATTGTCATTTTGATTTGTATCTCTCAGATGATTAGTGACTTTGAGCATGTTTTCATATGTCTCTTGGCTTTCTGAATGTTCCCTGTCGAAAAGTGTCTACTTAGGTCCTTTGCCCATTTTTTTTATTGGATTGTTTATCTTCCTTTTGTCAAGTTGTATGAGTTCCTTGTAAATTTTGGAGATTAAACCCTTATCTGAAATAGCATTGACAAATATGTTCTCCCATGCAGTGGGCTTTCTTGTTGTTTTGTTGATAGTTTCTTTTGCTGTACAGAAGCTTTTTATTTTGATGTAGTCCCATTTGTTTATTTTCTCCTTAGTTTCTATTGCCCTAGGAGCTGTATCAATAAATATATTCCTACGACATATGTCTGTATTTTTATTTTTTTTACACAATGTTTATCATTGAGTTCAGATGGGAGAAATTATTTCCAGAAAACACATGATTAATAAATGGCACAATCAGGACTAGGACTGAATTTTTTTACATATATTTTTTATTGATTTCAGAGAGGAAGGGAGAGAAAGAGAGAGATAGAAACATCAATGATGAGAATCATTGATTGGCTGCCTCCTGCATGCCCCTTACTGGGGATCAAGCCTGCAACTCTGGCATGTGCCCTGACTGGCAATCCAACCGTGACCTCCTGGTTCATAGTCCGATGCTCAACCACGGAGCCACACTGGCGGGGCAAGACTAGGGCTGCATTTTATCCCAAGTGCAAGAAAAAGGTGGTCCCTATGGTTCATGAAGTCATGATTTCGATGTACTTTCTCCACAGGCTGCGCTCAGCATCCACGGCATGTGTGGGGGGCCAATGCTGGGCTTATTCACCTTGGGAATCGTGTTTCCTTTTGTGAACTGGAAGGTAAGGATCCTGCACCTCTCTCTTCTCTCAAATTGTCCTGGTAATTTGTCTTTGCCAGGAAAAAAAAACAACAACATAGTGGCTTCTTTCCATGGAACTAAACAAAACCCGAGCCCTCCTATCTCTGACTTCAGTGAAGCCATTTCAGAAGCAGAAAACAAAGAGATGGTCCTGAAATAACAAATGTCATGGCATCAAAGCTGATTATTTTTTTAAAATATATTTTTGTTGATTTCAGAGAGGAAGGGAGAGGGAGAGAGAGATAAAAACATCAATGATGAGAGATAATTGTTGGTTGGCTGCCTCCTGCACATGCCCTGTGGACCCTACTGGGGATCGAGCCCACAACCCGGGCATGTGCCCTTAACCAGAATTGAACCAAGGACCCTTCAGTCTGGAGGCCAACACTCTATCCATTGAGCAAAACTGGCTAGGGCCCAAGCTGATTCTTTAGGGTTGACATTGTCTTCCCTAAAGTAAGGGCTCACCAAATGAAATTTAAAACATACAATAAATTCAGAAATAGTTTGTTAAAACAAAATTTTTAAAACTTCAAAATATATGTAAATGTTTTCTATATTTGTACCTAAATTTTAACTAATTGAAGTTAATGAACTAATTTAAGGAGGAAAATGGAGATGAGCCCTGCATATTCTGAGAGCTGAATCTTCTTAGTTTGGCTAGCTGACAAACTAATAGGTTGTCTTTAAGTAAATATTGGTTGGGTGACTGTGTAGTAAGTATAACTCAAAATGAACATCTATTTGGAAAAATAATAAAAAATATTTAAAATTTAAAAATATTTTAAATATCATAATCTTTTCAATGTAGCATGTTACTGGTTTTTTATTCTTGCCATTTATTCATATATATATATATATATATATATATATATATAATTTAGAAAGTCTGCAGAAAACCTGACTCTATGCATATTTTTAATATACTATGGGGTGCTAGAATGCCTGATCCAATGGTATACCTAAGTAGATCTTTGTGGCCACCTGACCATTATTCTAGATAAATCTTATGAGGCTAGGTAAAGAGATTGGACAGGAGGGAACTGCACTACTTCCCCTGCAGTCTTATTAGAAGATACTTTGTTTTCATTAACTTTTCTGATATCAAGGTTGACAAGGATAGGTATATCCTTGGAGATACAGAAGCGGGAAGGCAATCTCTTAGCCACAAAAGAATTAATAACTAGCCATATAATACTTTAATGCATTCTAAAAATTATTTTGTTATGTATGTTAGTGAATTATGGCCCTTCTATTTAGTTGGGAAAACTACCTTGTTCTAGATAAAAAATAATAAATACTACAAATTTGTATCACCTCTCCCCTTGCCATTGGCCATGGTGTATCCTACTAATCAATCCTGGCTCCCTCTCCACAGAATGTGGATGCAACCTCAGAATTCTTCTCAGCATGGCTTTCAAGACAGCTACGCTAAGTCAGCCAGGGTTGAACTTTCTACTGAAGTCCATTCACCCTTTACTGGTAGGCCCTATAGACCTCAGCAAGCTGCACTTTTCAAGCCAAATCCAGCCATCTTCCTTTTTTTGGTGTGGCTTGCAAGCTAAAAATGATTTGACATGTTTAAATTGTTGGAAGGAAATCAAAAGAAGAAGAATGTCCCATAACACATGAATATTACATAAAATTCACATTCCAGTGCCCATGAATTCTACTGGAACACAGCCAGTCTCCTTTGTTTGCATATTGCCTATGGCTGGTTTTATGCTAAGTGGCAGAACCCAGTAGTTGTGACAGTCCTGCATGGTCCTCAAAGCTAAAATGCTATTAGCTGGCTTTTTATAATATAAGTTTGTAGACCTCTACCAGGGGTGGGCAAACTTTTTGACTCGAGGGCCACAATGGGTTCTTAAACTGGACCGGAGGGCCGGAACAAAAGCATGGATGGAGTGTTTGTGTGAACTAATATAAATTCAAAGCAAACATCATTACATAAAAGGATACGGTCTTTTTTTTTTTTTTTAGTTTTATTCATTTCAAACGGGCCGAATCCGGCCCGCGGGCCATAGTTTGCCCACAGCTGCTCTAGTCAGACCAAGGTACAACTATTCAAATCGCATACGTTGCTTTAGCTTTCTCAAATAATGGTGAAAGGAACATTTTAGTGCTGTTATTGGAGAAGCTTTATTCTGAGTAAATAGAGAAACCAGCAAGTTGCTTTCTCTCCCAGAGAAGGCTCAGCTATCCAGGAGAGCCAGGAGCACCGAGATTTTGTTTTCCATTGGTGTTGGTCTCTGCTCAACTGTTTCCTTTACAAAAAAAGGTGACTTTTCACTGTTCAGCAAGAAATATAACCCTGCAATGAAAGGGCTAGTAAATACACATGCTAGAACTTAGACTCAACACTCCAAACCTGGGAATCAGAGACTCTGCCAGAAACACTTGGAAGAGCATATGGGAGTGGAGCTTCTGTATTCTAGCTCATAATGACTATTAATGATAAATTACGGCAACTGTCTCCATTATCTGAAGTTTTCCAAAACGTCTGAAACTCAGCTACTGGGAACTGAGGTTTCGACAGTGTTTTAAGTGAGTGATAAGTGAGAGGAAGAAGCCAAATGGAGAGAAGCAAATTCCTGCTAGGAATTGAAATATAATAATCACTATAAAATTATCCAATATTTTCATTTAAGGAACCAGTTATTTCTAAATAAAGCGGTGTCGAGGGAGTTGGAAGGAAGGCAGTTTGAGTGCGCTGTTTCCAGAATGTGTGGCTGAGATTTGGGGTGGAAAGCCAGAATCTCTGAGGCACAGTATTCCTCACCTCATTATGCTTTCAATGGCTTTGCCATTAACTTTTCCTTTCCTTCATCAGGGTGCACTAGGCGGCCTTCTGACTGGAATCGCGTTGGCATTTTGGGTGGCCATTGGGGCCTTCATTTATCCCGCACCAGCCTCCAAGACATGGCCCTTGCCTTTGTCAACAAACCAGTGTGTCCCATCAAATGCAACAGAGTTAGTGCCTACAGCGCTATCCAGCAGGTATGGTGACTTCAAAGCTAGAGATAAATCCCAGAGGGTGGGTCACCAGGTTAAAAGAAGGAGCAAGACGAGACCAATATTGCTTTCCTGTGAGATTCCCTCCGGGCAGCACACAGCATTGATATCCATGATTTCTGTAGATATCTATTGCTCTACAGTCCAGTGTGGAACAGTAAAGGTGACAGAAGGGTTAGCTGGAGTATGAGTGCAAATTAGAAAAAAATAGTGAAAAGTTTGAAAATAGAATATGAAGATCATAAGTATTTTTAAAAGAATAAATGCTCTGAGGAGAATAGCTTTGTGGGCAAGATGGAGAATGATGGTGGACATACTACTGAGGTGGGAGCAGTGCTGAAAACTTATGGTTTCTAACTCAAACTGTACAGGGCTTAGCAAAGGGTTGTCTTTTCTATTTCTAGCTGGGATAAGTAATTTAAAATACCAAAATACAGGAGATAATGTAGTGCAGGGAGAGGACCATAGACTTTGAAATCCGAAATACCTGGTTTGGATTTTGGTTGTATGATTTATCCATGCTGCACAAGTTAGTAACTTGTCATGTCTTGATTTCTCACAATCCTTAGAGAAGGTAATAATTACTGGGACTTTGCTAGGATTAAACATTAGTAAATCATATTACATTTATATCTCTATATTAAATTATATCTGTCTATTAAACTCTAGCTATTATCTATCTATCATCTATCTATTTATCTATCTATCTATCATCTATCTATCTATCTATCATCTATCATCTATCTATCTATCTATCTATCTATCTATCTATCTATCTATCATCTCTCTATCTATATACAGGGAGAGAGAATGAGAGGAAGAGAGAGCAAGCCAGGGGCACTGTACCTGGCTCTAGTAAGTGTGCATTCTCACATCTAACTGTGGTCCTGAGGAGGTGATCCTTTCTATATAATGTATGAGAACTCCATTATCTTGCTGTCATTTGCCTCTGAGTGTCATCTAGTTTAGACCTATTCTCTCCACAAATCTTACGGACAAGCAATATTTATAGTTCCCAGGTCTACCATGTTGTTTCTTTCTTACTGCTTATGCTTATAGTATCCTCTTTTCTTTACTTAGTTAACTCTTAACCATTCTTTGAAAATAAACTAAGGTGTCATTTCACACATCAGCCTGGGTTTTATACCCTTTCTAATACTCACAGAATCCTCTGTGTCTATTCCACCAACGCATTGCCACTCCATTTTATGATTGTTAACTCCAATATATAGACTGTGGCTTGCTCATCTTTTAATCTTCAGTGCCTGTCATAATTTCTGGCACTAAATCTGGATTTAATAAATGTCTGAAGAATAAATAGTACAAAATAAATGGAAAGCATAGTTCTCATTGTAATTGTAATTCAGCAGCAATATTTGTAATCCTGAGATAGATGGGCTACAAAGCACAACTTGTCTAGCTTTGAGTTTTCAAAAAATAATCAAATGACAGAAAGTTAAGCTTTGGGGTTTTGAGCGATGCCAGGCCTTAAAACGAACCCTGAGCAGTTCTCTAAGTCACTGTGAATGGTAACTTCAGAACCCACAGAACTGGTGACGTGCTGTTGTCCTTCCTCCACAGGCCTGCGATTGCTGACTCCTGGTATTCGATCTCCTACCTTTACTACAGTGCAGTGGGCTGCCTGGGATGCATTGCTGCTGGAGTAATCATAAGCTTCATCACAGGTTGGGTACCTGGGTCTTCTCTTTAGGGCCAAGGAAGACATAGCCTAGTTTCATGCATTGGTGGTCTCGGTAGCTGGCTAACTGGTGTTATTTTGGATCCACCACAAAAATCCCCTCTTCCTAGAGAGATATATCTACTCTCCAGACTAACATGCAAAAAAAAAAAATCCCTTTTTATATAATTACTAGAGGCCCGGTGCACGAAATTTGTGCGGGGGGGGGGGGGGAGGAGTGTGTCCCTCAGCCCATCCTGCACCCTCTCCAATCTGGGACCCCTCAAGGGATGTCCGACTGCCTTTTTAGACCCAATCCTTGTGGGCCTAATCTGGGACCCCTCAAGGGATCACAATCCAGGACTGTTGGTTCCCAACCGCTTGCCTGCCTGTCTGCCTGACATCCCCCTCACAATCCAGGACTGTTGGTTCCCAACCGCTTGCCTGCCTGTCTGCCTGATTGCCCCTAGCCGCCTCCCCTGCCGGCCCAATCACCCCCAACTGCCCTCCCCTGCTGACCCGGTCACCTGTAAATGCCCTCTCCTGCAGGCCCGGTCCCCTGCAACTGCCCTCCCCTGGCAGCTCGGTCGCCCCCAACTGCCCTCCCCTGCAGGCCATCTTGTGTCCACATGGGGGCGGCCATCTTTGACCACATGGGGGCGGCCATCTTTTGCGTTGGAGTGATGGTCAATTTGCATATTACCTCTTTATTATATAGGATTAATCATATATATCTAATACATATGATTAATAATGATTCATATATATAACATATATATGATTAACCATATGTAACATATATTTATAGATATCTCCCCTATATATCTGATTTGGTTCAAAACTGAGAGCTTTCCCAAAGAAAAAAATTATATAATTTCTGCTATCACTTCCGTTGGCCTATAAAGGGTACTAGTAGTAAAATTTTCCATAATAACTATTTTAACATAAATGTGTTCTCTCTGTTTAACTCTATAGCCAGGATCTTGCCTGACCTGACAGCTTGTGGATGTTTAAAAACCAACTCCCATCGCTTTGAGCAGTGACTAATGTCTGTCTATTAACTAGTCAGGCCTGATTTTACCTTGCACACTAAGCCATGGCCTGCTTCTCAAGTTGATGATGCCTCAGTCCTCAAAGGAAGTCCTGGAAGGGTGCAACCACCTAATCCATCTGTTCTTTCATTTATAGGACACCAGAGTGGCAAAGATATTCAGCCCATGCTGATCAGACCCGTCTGCAATCTATTTTGCTTTTGGTCTAAGGAATATAAAACACTGTGCTGGTGTGGAGTACAGCATGACCGTGGGTCGGAGCAGGTGAGCTGATGTTGAGCTTCTGGAAAATAGACACTGGCTCAAAGGGATTCCCTTTTGCCCCTTTAAACCATCTGCACAGGCAGGCGTGGGGAGGGAAGGCAGTGAGTGTTAGAACTTGAAGGAATCTGGGTCTCAACTTCAGTTATCTCAGCCAATTAGCCTTTTTTCTTTTTTACAGCTTTTATTTATTTGTTTTTATTGATTTCAGAGAGGAAAAGAGAGGGAGAGATAGATAGGAACATCAATGATGAGAATCATTGATTGGCTGCTTCCTGCACATCCCCTACTGGGGATTGAGCCCACAACCGGGCATGTTCTCTTGACTGGAATCGAACCTGGGATCCTTCTGTCCACAGGCTGACACTCTATCCACTGAGCCAAACCAGCTAGGGCTCAGCCAATTAGCTTTTAAGCAAGTAATTGTGTTGTAGCTAAATGTGCCTCTGGGCTAAATTGTTGTCTTGGCAAGTGATCGATTTCCAGAATTCCTTTGAACCCTTCTGAGGGTGAATTGTAGGAAAAATATAAAAATGAATGCCAGAAAAGGGATAAAATAGGAGCACAGTCTCATATAGTGGTGAAAAGTATGGGCTTTGGAGTCAGCCCTGGGTTTAACCCTGGTTTCATGCCTTACTTTCCTTGGGTTAGTTACTTAACCTCTCTGAACTTCAGCTTTTATCTTAGAACTGGGGTGGACTGCAGCACAACCTGTGCACAAACATCTCTAGTTCCATGGAACGTGAATATAAAGTAAGATTTATTGGGAGCATTTCTTCAGTTAGAGAAGCAGCAGCAGGATACAAAATTCTCCCCACTGTTCTCACCCCACTGAGAACTGTGTTTTGGCCAGGCAGGGCTAGAGACACTGTCCAGGTACTATCGGGATCACATCATCCAAAGACCAAGGCCTGTGGTTAGACCAAATTAGACTTACTGACTTGATGCAGCAAGAGTGGGGGGCACTCCAGGGGAACCAGGGAATGCCACCCTCAACAGGAGGGGAGATTGGCATGTATTTTGGGTTTGGGTTGCTGCTAAAAAATTCTGGGAGCGGTTGAAGGGAAGCGAGTATGAAAACAAAGCTGTCTGCAGCAGCGTGGGCTAAAAAGCACTAACCACTAGAAAGTTGTTGTGGCATTTGACAAGTGCAGAACCTTGAGGGGAGCAATGTTTCCGCTACATTTGTGCCTAGTCTTATGTGTGTCTATCCTTTTAGCCTGACTAATGGCCGATGTGTTGTATTTTTTTCCCCTTTTTAGATAGAGTTTATTATCATCCTTTCAGTCCCAGACATTTCATTCTTTTAGCATTCTAGGAGGGGGACTCCTCACCCTAACCACATCACCTAAGGCAGCGGTCCTCAAACTATGGCCCACGGGCCACATGCAAATACAAATATTGTATTTGTGCCCATTTTGTTTTTTTACTTCAAAATAAGATATGTGCAGTGTGCATAGGAATTTGTTCATAGTTTTTTTTAAAACTATAGTCCGGCCCTCCAATGGTCTGAGGGACAGTGAACTGGCCCCCTGTTTAAAAAGTTTGAGGACCCCTGACAAGGTGTCAATTGTTCTCCTTTCCCCCAAAATACCGTAAGAACATGTCCATGAAGTGAAGCTGAGTTGAACAGTTACTTCAGTAAGATGCACACCATCTGGACAGGGGTTCCGGATGGGGAGGAAATCTATTCTGCTGAGGAGGCAGCTGACTGAGCAGTTTATTGTTTGGATGAGTGGATTTTGAATAAGTTCTAGAAGGAAGGAATCAAATTATCAAGTAGTTTACATATTTATCTTTCTGGGCAAGATTTTCTTCAAATAAATGGTAAGTTCTGTTGATACAGGCAGTTTCTGGCCCCAAGGCTGAGTTGAGAGTGGGAGGGAACACGTAGCATGTCACTATTAGGCTCCGCTGCCAAAGAGTATTATCGAGCAGCCTCTGTATAGGAGCATCTGTATTATCGAGCAGCCTCTGTATAGGAGCATCTGTATACAGGTACCCAGTTATGCCCCCACCATACCACTATCAGAGACACAGGTTTGCTTAATAAGATATATATATATATATATATATATATATATATATATATATATATATATATAATTTTTTTCACACAACACACGACATACTGTAAAGGCTCACTAAATTATTCTTTTTGATTGTATCATCATTAGAAATAGTATCTACATGGATTGAGGTGTCAAAGTTATCAATTAGAAAGTGCCCTGGGTCAGTTAATTGTGTTACTTTCATATTTACCAGTACATATCATTTTTTTGATCAGGAGGCCTAAGTAACAGTCCCTCGATTTGCTTCCTAATACATCAAGACGATTTCACTAATATGTGTTTCCCCTTTCCTCAGGAAACACTTGAGAATGGCAGTACCTGGAAACAAGGAACTGAATCTGTCTTACAGAATGGACTCAGGAGAGAAAGCCTGGTCCACAGTCCAGGCTACGATCCCAAGGACAAAAGCTATGACAATGTGGCGTTTGAGAAGATTACCCATTTCTAAGGCAACATGTGCATGCGTGTGCACACAAACACACACATACACACACGTAGACCTACACAGTCCACATACTTCTTGCTTATTGGTTAGTAGACTTGTGTAGTTGCCATTTCTAGAAGACAAGGATGTCTAATGTCTATTTATAACTTATTTATAACCTCAAATAGAATGACTGTTTCCCAGGCTATTCTTTGGATATCAAACTTTCAGGTGAGAAAAACAACCAAGCCTTAAGTGCTCTGGCAATGGACATCCTTCTTGAATAAATTAAGACTGGATTTCATCATAGAACAAGAAATTATTCTGTTTGCTTATTTCTTAGTGTTTTGAATAGTGCCTGTAATATGGGAGCTACCCAGGGTTTAGGACAAATGTGTGTACACACACACAAGCATATACACAGAAGTTACTATTAAGAGATTTTTATGACTTAACTAGTGGCCTAGTGCACAAAATTCATGCACATTAAAAGGGAATTAATTAGAGGAAATATTTTAATATTGCTATTTTCCCTTTCTCTGTAATAGCAATGTCAGAGATGAAAGAATATTAGTAAAAATGTATATGAAAACCTTCCACTTGTCAGAGTCTGGGGCATGCCGTGGGACCCAGAGTCAAGTTCCTGCCCACCCACATGCGCCTCGAAATCGCACAAGACCCAGACCCGGCCGGCCCCACCCACATTGGGCAAGATCCAGACCTAGCCAGCCCCACCCTCGTCAAGCCCCGCTGGGCAGGGGTTACAGCCTGAGTTCCCCTGCCCCAGGCCAGGGCAGGGGGCGTGGCATGAGGTCCCCCAGCCCGGTGCTGGAGTGGGGGGCATGGCCTGAGGTCCCCTGGCCTGGTCTAGGCTAGGCGGTGCACTTTGAGGTCCCCCGTCAAGCCCCGCATGGCAGGGGGCACGGCCTGAGGTCCCCCGACCCGGCACCTGGGTTGAGGGGGCGTGGCCTGAGGTCCCCTGTCAAGCCCCACTAAGCACAGGGCACAGCCTCAGGTCCCCTGCCCCAGCCCAGTGCCACGCAGCCTCAAGTTCCTGCTGATTGCTCGTTAAGGCTTGTTATGGGAACTTGGCCTCCACTGTGGGTACGGACATCTTGACTGTTACAACATGACAGTCAATTTGCATATTCCCTCTTTATTAGATAAGATAGGTTACCTTGTCCTTCTTGTCCTCAGAAATTTCCAGAAACAGCAATATATCTGTTTTGTTTTTTTACATTTTAGAGCAAATGTTTACAAAGCTGTTCACAACATTCAATTAATTCCCAGTTACAGAATCTGCTTTGACACATTAAAAAGCTAAGAATAATCACACATAATGTATTGATTTAATGTCCTACTCTAACTGCCATGTAAAAAAATACATGAGCAATTCCTAAATTTCTTATTTGTAACAGTAAAATATAGTCAGTCAGAAGGTGTAGAGAAGTGAGCATTGACTAATTTGGAATCAACATCATTAAGGTTTATGTACCTTTATTGCTTACTATTTTCCAGAATGCTGACCCAAAGACACTAGCTTAAAAACTGATTCAGTTTATTTCAACAGACCAACGCTCCCTTAAATTGGCTTTCAAATATCTTATGAGAGTTTGGAAGAAATGTGTAATGGTTAACAATAATATATACCTACTAGAGGCCCAGTGCACAAAATTTGTGTGTAGGTATGTTCTCTAGGCCTGGCCTGTGATTAGGGCCACCTTCCCTGGCTTCCGACAGCTGGCCCCACCCCCTGCCGGCACCTCCCCCCAGTTCCCCTTTCGCCATCAGGTGATTGGTGCCTGATGGCCGGGGGAAGGGACTGAGAGGTCAGCTGTTCCTGCCCACTTGCCGGCCCTGCCCCTGCCACAGGTCACCCTCTGTGTGTGGGACGACTGGTGGGGCAGGGGCCTTGGCCTTGCACCACCCACATCCCCCACCACCCACCCTCAGTTCCCCGATCGCCACCAGGAGATCAGAACCTGCCAGCCAGGGAAAGGGACCGAGAGGTGGTGAGTGCACCTCAATAGTGACTAGTCTAGCGGTAGTTCTGGTTGTTCTGCCTTTAGGGTCAATTTTCATATTACCCTTTTATTATATAGGAATAGAGGTCTGGTGGATGGGTGGGGACCTGCTGTCCTGCCCTGATTGGGGCCCTGGATCTGGGTGGGGGGTCCCCACTGGGGGTGAGGCCAGCCTGGGCAAGGGGCCATGGTGGTTTGCAGGCTGGCCACACCCCTAATCAAGGTGGGAGTCCCCTCTGGGAGGGCAAGGCTGTCCTGAGCAAGGGGCCGCGGTGTTCTGGTCTCTGGCTTTTTGTCTATCTATCTATCATATATATATATATACTAGAAGCCCATTGCATGAAGATTCATGCAATAGGCCTTCCTTCCCCTGGCTGCCTGCACTGGTTTTCCTCCAGCACCCAGGACCCAGGCCTTTGGTCTGGCCGCAGCAGAGAAGCCAAGCCTCTTCAGTCGTCAGTCTTCACTCCGGCCAGAGCCATCAGTCTTTGCTCTGTGCCTACATATGCAAATTAACTGCCATCTTTGTTGGGTTAATTTGCATAGTCACTCTGATGGGCTGGTGGGCATAGCAGAGTGACACCAATTTGCATGTTTCTCTTTTATTAGTGTAGATATATATATTTATATAGATATAGATATAGATATTTATAAAATCAATGTCTATCTATATTTAATAGATATAAAATCAATGTCTATCTATATTTAATCTATATCGATATCTTAGATATCCAGAAAGAAATAAAAACAATATTTACAAACATCTGGCTAAATATATGGCTGCAACATAATTCCTTCTATTGAGAATAAAAATGGCGAAATCCACTACAGGACTCTCAGCTCTTTTCTACTTGAAAATTACAATACAGAAGCCAACAGCCACAGATCCTAGAAAGAAAACATTGCTTATATTTTTAAACACATTTTCATCTTTAACATTAAGCTCGGCTGGCATGACTCAGTGGTTGAGCATCAACCTATGAAATAAGAGGTCACAGTTCAATTATTCCCATTCAGGACAATGCTGGGTTGAGGGCTTGATCCCCAATCATAGGCATGCAGGAGGCAGCAATTAATGATTCTATGTCATCATTGATGTTTCTATCCCTCTCTCTCACCTCTCCCTCTCTGAAATAAATAATGATTTTCATCTTTTAACATTCGAAATAAATAGTTTTATTTTCTTCATTTGTTGTCTATTTTAAGATTTACAAGGTTAAATATAATAAGCTTAGTTTTCAGTGGAAACTCCAGCTAATGAATAAATTTGTCAATTTATTTTAAATGAATGGTTTTTTTAAAATATATTTTTATTTATTCAGAGAGGGAGTG